AGACAGTTTTATTTTTCTAACAGGGTGGTTGGCCTTTGGAATGGGCTACCTTCAGATGTTGTAGAGGAAGTTAATTTAAGTAAGTTTAATAGAAAGCTTGATAAGTATATGAATGAAAAGGGCTGGGTTTAAAACTATTTTATTTTATTTTTTAATCAATTTAATTTAGTTTTGAGGATGGAACAGGTGAAATGGACCAATAGGTCCCATGTTGTCCCAAAATATTATGTTATGTTGTACCAGATAAAGACAGTATTTTATACTTCGAAAACATAAAACATATTGTACCAGATAAAGACAGTATTTTATACTGTTACAACAGTGGAAGTCACCCGACGCTGGGAACATGCATGCTGAAGTTTCTCGAACGATCATAAATTATCAGGGAAGACCAAGTTTGTTCAGGACGTCCTCTTGTTTAGTATATAAGCCTGGCAAGAAAAACCAGCGGGATTGAAGAGATATAGATAATTGAGTCAAGCGAACAGTAGGCATCGTAAGTAAAGTGTGTGAATCACTGTGATTTATAGCGTGTGTTATAAAAGTAGTTAAGTTTAACGTACTGATTGGAAATTTTATGTATTACAAAGTTGTGTAGAGAAAAAATAAACTGGTTTAAATAAGAAAGGACTTATATCGCTGAAGTTCCTCGAAAGCTTTTATACCGGAAATTATCAAACAAGCAGATACGTAACACATTGGTGTCAGAGAGTGGGATTAAAAAAAAAGATGGAAACAAGAAGTGATGAATCAAACTACAACTTAGCAGATCAGCAATATAAGAACAGCAAAAGAAACAAGAAGAACAAAACGTAGGATTCAAATTCAAGAGCTCTGGCCATCACATCTTATATAAAGTAGAGGGGTGTACTTGCTGTACTTGTATCTTCAGTTGTGGACTGTCCAGTTGAGGGCATCGGGTGGTGCAGTTGGGTAGGCATTGTGTGCCGTACTTTCCAAATCCTGTGCCAGCTCTTGCAGGCTCTCCCCTTTAGCATGGACTCTCGTCCTAAATCTAGCCCTGTAGACTTTGTACTGATTTTTAGTTCCATACCTGAGTTCTAGTGCAGCTACCAGTGCTCTATAGTTGCGCCTATCATCTGCTGACAACTGTCCAAGTATTTCCAGTGGTTGTCCCTTCAGGCTCGTTGCCAGGTACACTGCTTTCTGCTCCTCTGTCCATCCATTGATTTCTGCCAGGAGCTCAAATTGTGCTCTATATGCTTCCCAGGGTGCCTTCTCATCGATTTCCTGTGGCCTCCTTCATACTA